TTCTCTACAATTAGATGTCACAATCGTGCTGGATTGTCAGCTTCTAAATCCTCCGACGGTGTGAAGATTTCCGACTAATTTTTTTGGTTTCGGCAAGACTTTCAGTGATCATTTTTAAAGGACATGAAATGTTCAGAGAAAATTCTCTAAAAAGAACTATATCTTATCTTTCTTAACTTAAATGACAGATTTCATAAGATGATCTGAGAAGATTTAAGAATTGCGCCGCCTTATTCATGTACGATATATCAATACATCGCACTTACATGTATTCTTAAATCTTTGATGACTCAAAAATGTTGAAATCATATGGAAGCATGATTTAGATTTCTGGATGATCTAAAAATTTTTAAAGAAATATCTTTTTGTAATAGTACAACAGTGTGCTCATTATGAAACACACACTCGTTTGTTTACAGGACACTTCCTACTTTTTCTCTCTTTACATTGCACCTAACATGATTTTAGATACCCTCACTTCAAACTGATATTTTATCAAATTTATCACTAATTTGTAAATCATTTACCTACCTTAACAAGACGAAATCCACTTCAAACCCAATTTTAGTTTTCTAATAAACAATTCAACACTTCCTCTGTCGAACTATTCTATTCATTTGTTATTGTATATCAATCATTTATTCCTCGAAAATTAACCTCGTGATATTTTTAAGGCTTTACAGAGGATACTTCTAAGTTCTGGTTAAAGTGTAGGATTAAACCAGAGACAATTTTTTTCGAAATAATCGTCATGCCAATATAAAGGAGATCCGTAAATGTTTTAATATTATATAAAGTATCGCATATACTTGTACCTATTAGAAACTAGAGGTACTGTGAGCGATGAGCTCACTAAATGATACTCCCCGCCTCCATATAGTTATAATGGCAAAGTCCATGTTTGCTGTGGCCGGGGAACCCAAAATATGTGTCGGATCAAAAAGTAAAATAGGAGGTGCACAATGGCAATATGTAATAAAGATTCTGTGAAAGTTTCATTAAATTTCATTCAGTGGTATGAGAGGAGTTGCGGATAAGAGATGGGTACCCCAAAGCGTAACAGACGGACGGACGGAACTAACGATTACTATATACCCTCCCGCTTTTCAAGCGGGGGGTATAATAAAATCTATGGCGAAAATTAAAACAAATACAGGTATTGGTGAGTAAAGTTTTGTTGAAAACTTTTAATTACTAAAGCTTTTATTGCAGCTGCAAAATTACTTTTGGATCAACCCATGTACGAGGGTTGTCCCGTAAAATCGTGGACAAGCTGTCTAGTTTGAAAAATAATCATCACTGCGTTCTGAAATTTTCACCACTTTTTAGTTGATAAATTATAAATATACATAGCAAATTTCAAATAGATATAGCATAGGTAAACAAATTGTGATATTTTATGTTATGTACTGTATCGCCCTACGGCGCACGGATGATAACGTCAAAATGTCTAAAACAGCGTCACGTTTCATCTTTGCTAAACTTAAAGTTGGATAAGCCCCACTTAAATTTAGAAATTTTAGTGATTTACATATGTGAGTATCTATAACCAGTTAAGAAACCAATGTGGCACACTCATGCGATCTTCTGAATATTTATTAGCAAGTTACAGACAGTATTCTCACCATCATTCAAAAGAGAATCTCACATCGACGGTCGACAGAGACAGCGTCCTTTGCTATTACAAATGGCAGTCTTTCGTAATATCTGGGGACTCGACCACGAAGACTTCACTAAGAAAACTTTCATTTCATTTATATACTAAAGATCTGGTGATATTTTTCATATTTTCTTTCTTCTGTATTCATTTAAAGTCTCTTAAGGCGTCATTACAACATCCTAATCTATCTGAACTATTCTCCGGTGCGCCGTAACGTCATAAAAAGTCGCCATTTTTCGTGTATTGTGTTTATTACTTTCCTATTTCAAATGCTCGGGAAACTGCCAAAAATTAATCAAATGCCTTGAATTTTTTAAAAAGACGACAGAATTGATTAAGGAATGGAATTAGGATAATTTTCATCCTAATCTTATGTATTGAAAACTTTTATTACGAATTAATTTTTATGTCTTCTCTAATATAACCTTGCTATTTTTACCGTGCGCCGTAGGACCGTACCTTGTGCACATTCAAGCAGAATAAAATCTTTATTTTTGAATATATATTATCAAAAACATTATGATTCACTTAAATATGGTGAATAAACATTTACTGAAAATTTCAGCTTAGTGCGCCCATTACTTTTCGAGAAAAACGATTTTATGGGACAACCCTCGTACATGTATACGTTTTGAAAAACTAAATGCTCTGGTTTAAGTATAATTACATTAATGTCAACCTAAGACAAATACTGAATTCTTATATCCTGGTATACATTCCATAGTATAAAAATCTTTCTTCCAATAAAATTTTAAGGTTTAAAAGTTTTCACTATTTTTAATCAAGAACTTTTAAGTCAAGCAGAATTAATGTAATTTTCTAAATATTTAACCTTATACAATTAATTACTCCTTGTGAGGTCAACATGGTGAAATAAGGACCCGAGACCTGGCCCACGAGGTGACCTGACCTGACCGAGGCCGCGTAGCGGCCGAGGTCAGGTCAGGTCATCGAGTGGGCCAGGTCGAGGGTCCTTATTTCACCATGTTGAACTCACAAGGGGTAATTAATTGTTTTATTATACCGTTATATATTGAAAAGTATGAATCTCTAACCGTTATCAATTCTTTCTTTGATCGGGATCGGGATTCGGTACAGACCAGGTAGTGAAGTTGTTTACATTGACGTCTGCAAGTCGTGTAAGTTTTTGCATCATGATTTACTGATTAAAACAATATTTGGTTCATAGCGACATACATTGTTATAACCAACGATTACTTTTCCTCTACACAGTCAAAATCTAACACAGAATTCAACTCTTTAAAGAGCCGCCTCTACATTCCATGAACTGAATTGTAACGAAATATTGAAACGATAAAATTTTACCGTATTCTCTATGGTAATGCAAAACGGACCATGCACAATTTTAAAAACATGTTTTTTTTTCGAATAATTATTGTCTTATGCATTTACTTCACTCAAAATCGATTTTTTGATTAAGCGGTCATTTTTAGCGGTCATTAAAAATAATGACCGGGTCATTATATCCCACGTGCAATGGTTCCTAGGTCAGAATTGCTTTAAACAGTACCATTTGGAGTCATTGTTGTGTTTTAAAGTTTTCTTACCAGCCAATCAAATTCGAGTTTTATCAATAGAGGTATAATAAAAGCTTTTGAAATTACAAAGATCATTAACTTTAAAAGGGCTTGTATACATAATTGATCCAGCTTGTACAAAAAAATTATACTCTTTCCTTTGTAAACAATGGTATTTGAATATCCATTTACATGCGATAAGGGTACGGGGGGAGTAGTATGTGTAATAGCGCTTTACATGTATCTATCTCTGCTTACATATACATTGATTAAGCAGAGATGCAGAAAAAGTAAATCATGACTTGGTACTTTTGGGAATTTATTCATTTTATTCATATTCAAGATTTAAAAAAAAAAAACCCTCAAATTTTCTCTATAAAGACAATAACAAGCAGTTTTATCAAAATTATACATACTTTCACGATACAAAAATTTTAAAATTGTTTCTTCATTTCTGTCATTTTGTTTATGTCTGTATACATGATCTACACAACCAAAATATTTGTACCAAGAAGATTTTTTCAATATCAGTGAGTGAGTGACACACATCGCAATGTCTCTGATAGATTGTATCTTTAATCTTAACCTCCTTGAATTTTACACTTACACACAGAATTAGTAAGCTAAAACACTGCTAGCTTTTATCATTACTAGAAGTCTCAGGAAACACTAACTTTTCACATAGTTCCTTCCTTTGTGTAAGGTGATTGGCTATCTCATTTGGGTCCGTTTGACTATGGGGTGACACCTATACAAATGTAAAAATTTTTGCTTTTTATTAATATTTTTTAAGTGTATTGGAACTTTTACATAAAATTTTTATGTGCATAAAATCAAATGAAATAAAAGATATACCTTGATATCTCTAACTTTGTCTTCTTTACTAACAAATTCTCTCAGCATATAGTTATTACCAGCCTACAAGATAAAATACATTAGTTATTTTATTTCAAGAATCAAAAATCCTTTATTAAGTATAACTAGAAATATGTCCATAGGACATGAATGCCCCTACGAGGATATATAAGTAAAGCAACATGAAAATTTGTATGTGTATAAAATTTGATCAGAATATCCAGAATAGTGATGCAGCTGAATTGCTTGTTTGGAAAATATAGGTCAGATCCAGCATCCGAAGCAAGTCTGGTAGTGACCGTAGTGTCCATCCCTAGATGCATCATCCATGCAAGTTTGGTTCAGGTAGGGCTTATAGATACTTGGAAATGAAAATATAGGTCAGATCCAGCATCCGAAGCAAGTCTGGTAGTGTCCATCCCAAGATGCATCATCCATGTAAGTTTGGTTCAGGTAGAGCTTATAGTTACAATGGAATGAAAATATAGGTCAGATCCAGCATCCGAAGCTAGTCTGGCAGTGTCCATCCCTAGATGCATCATCCATGCAAGTTTGGTTCAGGTAGGACTTATAGTTACTAAGGAATGAAAATATAGGTCAGATTCAGCATCCGAAACAAGTTTGGTGGTGTCCATCCCTAGATGCATCATCCATGCAATTTTGGTTTAGGTAGGGCTTATAGTTACTTGGTAATGAAAATATAGGTCAGATCCAGCATCCGAAGCAAGTCTGGTAGTGTCCATCCCAAGATGCATCATCCATGTAAGTTTGGTTCAGGTAGGGCTCATAGTTACTTGGGAATAAAAATATAGGTCAGATCCAGCATCCAAAGCAAGTCTGGTAGTGTCCATCCCTAGATGCATCATCCTTGCAAGTTTGGTTCAGGTAGAGCTTATAGTCCATCCCTAGATGCATCATCCATGCAAGTTTGGTCCAAGTAGGGCTTATAGTTCCTTAGGAAAGGACCTGCTCTAAAAACTTTAACCTGGTCACTCATCTGAAAAATGTAGGTCACATCCAGCATCCGAAGCAAGTCTGGTAGTGTCCATCCCGAGATGCATCATCCATGCAAGTTTGGTCCAAGTAGGGCTTATAGTTCCTTAGGAATGGACCTGTTC